GTTCAGTGTTAATGGTGCTTTCACAGATGTGCACCAATACTTCAGTTAATTTCAGAATTAACAATCAATTTCAGAATGAACATATTTTTTTTATAAAAAACAATGAAGTTTAAAGATAAAACATTAATTATCTTGTTTTTCTTTCTTCAGATACAGATCAAAGTGGGTTGAGGGAATCACCGCTTTGTGTTTCTATTTGCATTTTACCTACTGTCCCAACTTTTTTGGATTGGAGTTTGTAAATATAATCAGTTATGCTCTGTTAGTCTCCCAGCATCACCAGCATTTGAACTCGTGATCTCACAAAACTACAGCAAAATTGACAAAATCAGCAGTAGGCCAGATACATCTCATAGGCCCATAGTTTAAATTTCTTTCTAATGAAATGTGCTGCTGATTAGTGTTGGTTAGGGACAAGATATGCTCAGAAAGACACATTACAACATAATTTATTACGATAATATTAACAGATCACCATATAAGCCGCCCTTAATTGAGGCTGCATTGTTCTCTGTACAGTTGATTATGTTCCACTGTCCTTGCGAAGGAAGTTGTACTGACAGCCAAATATAATTATTCCGTTCACACTAATGGACTGTTAAGGCTTTGAGTGCTCTTGCTTTCATCTCCCTCTGTAAACTCAGTATGGTGAGAGCTTCTCTGGAGAGCAGCATAGCACCTGGAGAACATCTCCATGTTGAAGTGGTGGTGAGAAACTCTTTCTTCTGCCAGGTCCATCAACACTTGTTTTTTTCCATGAAGGTGTGACGTATTGAACATGATGAAAGGTGTTTCATTCATGTCTGGCCATAAATAGCCGCAGTGCAGATTTCAGGTTTGTGACAAGGGTCTCTTTGTTTTCTTTGTCAGGCTGTGATGTATAGAGCATTATGAGCATTGAATTGTCTGTAGGAGAAGGCCATGGATTTAAAGTAGGGTTGGCCTATCAGTATTGATGTTATCTGCTTATATCGTCAGAAAATGTTGAGGGAATGAGGGAAAACAATATAAATTGGGTGATATTAAGATATCAGCTCTGTGTTTCTTCCTGTGGGGTTGTATAGTGTTTTCATGGTGTGTGCATGATAGCCTACTTTTAGATGTTCTAAATGCTTTAAGAGAAAATATCTAATTGGTTTCAGGTGATACTCAAGGTTTCAATATCGGTATTGAACTAGAAAAAAGTGGTATTGAGCCATCTCTAACTATAAGTACAGTACATTGCAAAAGAGAACACCCTTAGTTTATGTAATATCCAGGGAAAAGTATAAGTTATTAATTTTCATATCAGGGTCAGGAAAAAAAGCTGAAAACATATTTAATAGGAAATTAAACAGAAGCCTTGACTTATAAGATCAGTTTTTTCAGTATTTGGTGTGTCCACTTCTGTTCTTTTCAGGAGCTTTGCTTTGACTTTTTCAAAGAAATCTGCAGGGAGATTTTTTTACACCTCTAAAGTTCAGTCTTACAAGTTGGTTGTATTTTCTGCTTCTCACAATCCAGATTTTCCCAATCATATTCAGTAATGTTGAGGTCTGGCCTCTGGGCTGGTCAGTCCATTGTTCTGAGAACACCAGCAGCTTCTTTATTTGACTTGCAAATGTTCTGTTTCCTTTTCTCATAACAGCTGCACATCCTTTCAGACTCATAGTGTTGTTGTCTTCTCACAGTAGAAGGATGGACAGAAACACCTGTGGATTGTTTCAGATTTGAAGCAAGAATGGAGCTTGATTTTCTCCTCTCTCTCAAAGATGAAGTACTGTTTATCTGATGGGAACTACTGTTTTTTTCACTTTCACTTTCTTTATTCAAGTGGGTTATCTTATTTCTAATCACCTCATTATATCTCCCGGAAAATTAAAAACTTTTAGTTAATGGCCGTTTTAACTGGAAACTAAATAAAAGTTGGCCTCTGGCTTTTGCAAAGTACTGTATTCGATAAAGTAAATGGGCAAAGTAGGCTTTAAGTAGGCTGCTGCAGTTTCTAGCTGTGCTAAAGTATATTTGGCCATTTTTGTATATAACAGCCTGTCATACAGTGTCAGAAACCACATAAGCAAGTCTATATGAGCTTACTTATCAGCTAATTGGCAAACTTTGGATTTCTTTATTAGCTGCTTTAGCCTTGTAGCTCCAGTGCTACACTAAAGAAGCAAACTTTAGACACCAAACCTGACTTTACTACAACAGTAGAAAATTGTGGGCATTAGGTTGTGAACAACTGATTTTAGATAAAGGTTAGGAGTTTCCTCTGTGTCTGGGTCAAAAGGCCTGCTGGGGTGAGCTGCAGTGACAGCGCTGGCTCCTAGTGTTCTGTGTCTAACCCTGTGGAGTGTAAAGTACATCGTAATCCCTGGGATTAGAGGCCAGAGAGTTGCACGTAATCCCACCCCAAGTTATATATCATTACAGACAAATCAAAACAACACGACAGCACATTTTGTTCTTAGGCTGGTGGGTAGTCCTTTGTGTTTGTTACTGGGTTCTTTTGCCATCCTTGAAACTCTACCACCCTAATTTCTTCTGTGATGCCATTTCATTGTTATTCAGCTGTAAAAGGTAGACCACTTTATGTGATAAGCATTTTATTCAAGTTAAATAAATCTTTTGATTAAAAAAGCAAAGCAAAATAACAAGATGAACAAATGAAATACTCATCAATCAGAATCTCAAAAAACACTTCAAATCAGCTGCTGCAGGTTCATTAGTGTTACATTGTCCTTACACATGAGAAGTTTAATTAAGTGTTATCTTTTTATTTTGCAGTATTCACTGACTATTGTTGGTATCAGAATGTGAATGGTATAGTGTTTCTTTGGAGTTTGGCCCTAGATGTGAAGTCTGTGATGTCCGACTGTCACATGACGGTCCACGTGAAGAAGTAGTATGAAAATGTCAAGGCTAGGAAGTCTGGTCATTTAGCTGCAATGAAGCATGTTACCTGTGTGGAGACCCAGCACTGTTTTGTCATTATGTGAATGTGAGGTTTGCTTTATCCCACATAGCTCTGCTTGACCCTGTCTGATGAGTCACACGCTCACTCTCCGCTCATTACTCCACAACACATGCACACGGGCACACACACACTGAGCTCAGTTATGGAAGGGAAATTAGGTCACCTCTTTGGATAACTCTTCCCTAAGATAGCATTCTTCTGTGGCAGAATTGCATTTAGTTGTCTACCTGATCATCAACACAGTGATCAATTGAGTTTACTTGATTCAAATGTGTGCATGATTTCAGCATCAGTTTATCAGCTCCACCTACCATATAGGTGCACTTTGTAGTCCTACTATTACAGACTGTAGTCCATCTGTTGCTCTGCATACTTTGTTAGACCCCATTTACCCTGTTCTTTAATGGTCAGGATCCTCACAGAGCAGGTACTATTTGGGTGGTGGATCATTCTCAGCACTGCAGTGACACTGACGTGGTGGTGGTGTGTTAGTGTGTGTTGCGCTGGTCTGAGTGGATCAGACACAGCAGTGCTGCTGGAGTTTTAAACACCTCTCTGTCACTGCTGGACTGAGAATAGTTCACCAACCAAAAATATCCAGCCAACAGCGTCCTGTGACCACTGATGAAGGACTAGAGGATGACCAACACAAACTGTGCAGCAATAGATGAGCTGCTGTCTCTGACTTTACATCTACAAGGTGGACCAACAAGGCAGTGTCTAATAGAGTAAACAGTGAGTGGACAATTACAGTCTGTAATTGTAGAACTACAAAGTGCACCTATTTGGTAAGTGGAACTGATAAAATGGACAATGAGCATAGAAACTAAGGGATGGTTTAATGTTATAGCTGATCAGAGTATAAGTTAGTGTACTGAAATAAGGCACATATGTAGATGAAGTATGTTTTCTTATATGTCAAACAGAAATATATTACAAACTTAAAACATATCTTGAAAAAAATATATGTAATTATGTTTCCTTTGCATATGGATTTAAAATCGTATTTGAACCCATTCACACTTGAGCATGATGAGGTGAGGCAAATATCTGTACATAAAAGTAGTAGTAAATGCATCCAGGAACTTATAAAACAAAAAGTCCTAACTTCTAACTTGGTGCTCTGACGTGTTTAGAGGGCATTGTTAGTAATGTTTCTTTGTTAGCTGTGTAGCTAATTCTAATACTGTCCCTGCTAGAAACAACAGAATAGACCAGCATGGCTGGTCACCAGAAAAAACAGCATATGTTGTGTTTGGATGATGGTGTGCTGGGGAACCAAGACCAACATAAACCAGCTCAGACCAGCATGGAATTCATGCTGGCCCGTACTGTTTTTTTCTTTAGGGTTAGCATGTATGCTAGCAGTACATGCTAAGATAAAACCGTTCATATAGTATCTGATTTGACAACCTAAGATGGAAAAATAACTTTCTCTGAAGGTTAAGAACTTACTTTGTCAAAAAAGCCAAACGTAGAAGTACATTTTAAAAGAGTTTCGAGGCCCAAAGTCAGCTATTCACAGAAAGTGCCCAATATAATATAAAACTGAAAAACCTGTAAGAAAGAAGAATCAAAAAATGTCTCAGTGCTTTCTACTAGACATTAACAGGTGGAAATACAAAAGAGACTTTTTCTTAAAGCTGCACTACGTAAGATTTTGGAGATTTGGAGACATCTCTGGTGGAAATGTGTAATTGCATGCAGCGTGCAGAAGAACGTTTTGTGTCATCAGTTGTGCTTTGGACCCCTTCCCTGAGTGAATGAGTTTTAGTTTTGAGTTTTAGTAGAGATCCCAATAAAGTCACACACTGTACTCAGATTTGCCAAGAAAATAACGCTCATCTTTATCTGCAGCTAAAGTCTCATCTCTTCTTTATCTCTCCTGTATCTCATGTCTCCTTTTTATCTAATGCTGTTTCACTTAAGGAATTTTAAGAGTATCACTATTAAGTCTCCTGAGCCATTGAAGAGCAACATTTGAGCAATGAAATTTCCCTCTGGATATCTGTATGTTTATTTCTTTTCTCTTTTGTCCCTGCAGGGTTACCATACACCATGTTAAGGTAAAGCCTAAGCTTGGTGTGTTGAACATGCTAAAGAAGCTGGACAAAATAAGATTCCGAGGTCCAAAGCGCGATGAGTTCTTGGATCTTGCTGAGTCTCCCACCGCCTCGGATAATGAAGGCAGTGAGGATATTACGGTGAAGCCTCGACCTTCGCTACGAGACCCAGAGGAACCGAGAGACCCTGTGAGTCGCTTAAACTAAATTCAGTGTACAGTTAATCAAGTCCTCACCAAACTCAAATTCATACCAAGCTCAAACCAAATTAATTTAGTGTTACCAAACTCAAATGTAATTAAAATTCTGTTAGCCTTACCAAGCCTAACCAAACTCAGCCTCAATAAAGTCAAACTCAGTTAGCCTTACCAAATCGAATCGAGATACAGAACACAAATTTATTTAGCCTTTCGTTAGCCTTAACAAACCTCCAAAACATCATTTGGAGGCAACTAAAAATGTTTTTACATTCTACTGATCTATTTTTTGTCAGTGCTGATTTGATCTGAATTCATCTGTCTGTGTTTTATGCACTTCTTGGTATAACTGGATGTCTGACAGTAGGTGGGTGACTGCATAATTGGCATGCCATTTGTGTTCCACTGATAATGTATTTAAAAATATGTATGCAAAGTGAAAGTAAAAAATTTTAAACATAAGCAAAGTGGCTTTCACAAAAATCTGTTTTTCACTGTTTCGTATAAATACAACAGAAATATGCATCATTAGAATTTTCATGAGAGGAAGGAAAGTAAAGCTGACTTTGGACGTTCAACCCAGTTACCCAAATTATAGATTGAAATTATTCATTAAAAATACATTTTAAGTAAATCATTAGGAATTACTTTTGGATGCTGGTTGTACTAATGTGCTAATTCTATGCTAAAAACTGAACTCTCATCTCAGCGGCTATCAGCAGAGAAATCATCTGAAAATGAGATATATAGACAGGTTAACACATTTTCAAATGGTTACATGCTTGTTTTCTTTGATTCAGTATTAAAAATAGTGAAAAATAAAGTTTATTTTTAAGAGTTACTATGACTGAACGGCACCCCAATCATGGAATCATCCAGGTACTGAATGTGGGCCATGTGAAGGGTGCGGTCTGATGTTCTTTGCCACTTAGTTTGTATGTCTGAGGCTTATTAAATGGTGTGCTAAGTTATAGCACCAAGCTACTGACTGTAAGTGGGCTTATTTTGCATATAAGGGCAAACCAGTTGCTCATGTTTGCTGCTTTAGAAGTTGAATTTGATTCATTTAAGCCATATGATATTAGAGCCCCAGTTCAAAGATCGTCTTGTCTTGGTTTGTTGCTACAGAAACTGACATTTTCCCTGTCCACTGTCTGGCAGGGTGGGCAATATGACAGTATGTTATTGATGTCATGAAAAATATGGTCACAAAATGCTGAGAATATCTACAGTATTTCCAGAATACTGATCAACTGTTAAAGACAGATTTCGACCAATTTTTCTTTCTTTTTTTGTGCAGTTGCTTGATTTTTCTGTTTTATTTTAAGAGGAAATTTTATTTAATTGATTACATTTATTTTTCATCCTTTTCCTTAAATAATTTATTTTTGCAAATTATTCATTTTAAAGAAATTTTTGCCAAAGATGTGTCACTGCTGGTTGCTGGTGCATTTTTTCTGTTATAACATCACAGTCCTCAGAGATTGTGACATGTATATTGTGTATTACGTTTATCATGATGTTATATTTTTGCCATATTGCTCGTCTTTCTACAATCTGTCTGCCTGTATTACATTATAAAACACTGAGACAGACTTTGTTTAGCTCTCTGCCTGTCCAGTCTCTGGCTCCTGTGCCCGTGTAATTGAGCTAATGCAAACCCCTGAGAGAGATGCAGAATCTGGTGTTGATGAACGTTCATCCAAGAGCCTGTTTGATGCCTCTGCCTTCCTGTTTATTCAGGGCAGTTCCTGTTGACTTTGTGCTGGGGAACGTCCAGTTGATAAAAAAGCAGCGACAGGACTGAGCCTGGCACCGTTTCCATCAAAGCACTGAGAATAGCTAATGGTCTCAAAGACTTCAGCTGTAATTATTCAGCGGCTTTTCTCTCTTAATTAGCTTGTCTTGCTTTATGTATAATAGATGACGGTCTTGGCTGAGATGCGATTTGTCTTTGAGACGTTTTCTGTCTTTGTGAGAGGGTGATGTGGGTTTCTGTGTGATGTGACCCACTGTTTTCTACTTTTTTTGAACACTTCCTGTGATGATGAAGAGATTAGATTAGTCATCAGGTTGTGTAAGCGTAAACAGAACAGCCTTTTCTCTCTTTCCTCCACGGTCATGGTGACCTTGTGCTCTTGAGTTTTAGACAAGCAGGAAGAGAGTCAGTCTCAGACTTAGAGAGCTTCTGTTATATCTCTTTCTTTATTGCTTGCTTTCTTTCTCTCTCTCCCTCCTCCTTGTATCTCACTCTCTTCTCCTCCTTTCTTTCTCTCTTACCCTTTGACTATTTCTGCCTCTCTCCTTTTCCCCATATTATTCTTCTCGCTCTTCTTTCTCTCTTCTTCTGTAACCGTTTGTCTTTTGTCTTTTCTCTTTATCCTCTCTTCCCCTTCCCCCCTTTTTGTATCTCTCACTCTTTCCTTTCTTCTCTTTTGACTCTCTTCCTTCTCTCTCTCTCTTTTCTTCTTCTCTTTGTGTTCTTTTCTCCTTTTTCTCTCTTCTTCTGTCAATTTTTCCTCTCTTCTCTTTTTCATCTCTTCCCCCTCTTTGTGCTTCCTTGCTCTCTCTCTCACTTTCTCTCTCTGTCCTCTTTGTCTCTCTCTCCTTTTTCTCTGTCCTCTCTTTCTCTTTTTTCTATTTGTTCTCTCTTTCTATCCTTGTCTTCTCCCCCTCTCTCTGACCTCTCTTTCTGTCTCTCTCTCATTCTGTCTCTGTCCTCTCTGTTCTCACTGTCCTCTCTCTGTCTGTCCTCACTGTCCTCTCTGTCTTTCTGTCTCTGTCCTCTCTGTTGTCTCTCTCTCTTTCTCTCTCTGTCCCTGTCCTCTCTCTCTGCTGCTCTCTCTCTCTGCTCTCTGTCCCTGTCCTCTCTCTCTGTTGTGTCTCTCTCTCTCTTTCTGTCCCTGTCCCCTCTCTGTCTCTCTCTCTCTGTTCTCTCTCTCTCTCGCTCTCTCTCTCTCTCTCTCTCTCTCTCTCTCTCTCTCGCTCTCTCTCTCTCTCGCTCTCTCTCTCTGTGGTGGAGGCGTGTTCATGCTGAGCATGTGGTGTTTTAGGTGGTAAACTCTGTGGAGGAGGTCTGTAGGTCTGTCTTGGAACACAAGCTGGTGCTAACTGCTGCCTCCTCTAGAAACTTCTTCCTCTCCTGCTTTTCTCTCTGTAGCTCCACTTGTGTTGTGTGGATTAACCCTTAGAAGTCATTATTACTCTTATTTTGCCATAGTATTTACCCTCTTTCTGCAGGCCTCTAGTCCATTCTGCCACTGGAATATAGACTGACTCTAATATGTTTGATTAATATGATCAAATAAAATCTTTTCCCTGTAACTCTGTTATCAGATTATCTAGAACACTGTTGGCTCTCTGTGTGTGATGCTGTGATACTGTGTTGAGCTGCTAGTGAACAGTGAGGGGTGAAAATGGAGGAGTGAGAACCACCTTCAGTGAAAACAGTTAACGCCTCTATATAAAGACAGCCACACTGAGATAAAACAGACAGCACAGCTGTAGCTGTCTTGATAAAACTGCTGCAATGAAACAGCATTTAATCAATAAATCAAAATATATGAAAGAGACAATAAGTGAGGGCCCTCTGTAACAGGCAGACTTTGAACTTTATGGCTACTGTGAGAAAGGGTTGAATGTTATTATGTGATTCACTTTGTAGTTAGTCATGTGTGTACTCACGTAACTAACTATGTTAGTTGTAGATGGTTCTACAAGGGTTCTTTAGCAAAGACAGTGGTTCTATATAGATCTGTGAACATTCACTGCATGATCAAAGGGTTCTTTGCATGCTGAAAGAGTTCTTCAGATTGACAGAGAATGTGCTGTAGACGGTTCAATATAGAACCTTTTTGAAAATCGTTCTGTATAGCACCAAAAGGGGTTCTTCTATTGTTATAAGCTTGACATTGCCACAATAGATGAACCCAAAGGTTTATATAGAACCATATACAACACATTCTCCATCAATCTGAAGAACCCTTTCATGATGCAAAGAACCCTTTAATCATGTAAAGGGGTCTTTGAGTGTTCTTTAAGAACTGTCTTTTTTATGGGTGTACATTTAAATTCTGCTTCTGTAGACAGGTTTGATTCTACACGAGGGATATGAGCGCTTAAGTACTTAGTTAACCATTTGCTCCATTTCAACACAGGAATACGTGCAAAATATACAGACCAGCAATTCAATGAAATGATGCCTTTATGTTTTAACATGACTGTAAAATGTTATGATTTTGCTCATATTTGTGTGTAAGTCTGTATTTTACAGTGTGCCACTCTGAAACATGAGTGCCTGAACATGAGCACATTGCTAAGTATGTGCTGTTAAGGACGTGATTGAGAAGGAAGATGTAGCGCAGCATTATTGCTAACTATGCTAACTACTCTAGCTGAATTTAGAAACAGTGGAAATATATTTCTCTGACCAACTAACATGTTGGCACATTGTTCACTGAAGAGAAAAGACCTTGTCTTTTCTAAGATGTCCAGTGTACAGTGTTATACTAGTAAGCTGTAGCTTTAACTCACATCTGAAGCCTCTGTTACTCATCCAACATGAAAACTACCAATTCCCTCTGCTATTTTGAATAAAAATTATAAATAGTAATTTATAATAAAATAATAATAATAATATTTAAACATTTTCAAATGTATTCCTCTTCTTTGGGCTAAACGTTGCTACTGGTTGTCATTTAGCTCTTAATACCAGTGCTATCACCTAAAAGAGGAAGCCTCCAGCTCCAGCATTACATCAATTTTGGCCAAAAGTACTTTTTTGCAGCCTTTATTATTTTTTTCCTTCACCGAGATTAACCAGATATCCATTCATTAACTCTTACAGATATTCAGATATCAAAATGAATCAGAATGCACATCCCAAATCTGCACTTAAGGTTGCTTCAAAGTCAAAAATGACAAAAGCATGAAAGAAAATGTGAAATGTGTCAGTGTATGTGCCCCAATGAAGTCAAGTTGAGAAAAAGCCAT